TGGAGCCGTGGCGCAGGCCGCCCGTCAGGTGCCGCCCGCCCTCCCCGGCTCCGAGCCGGGGTTGCTGTGCCTGAAGCTGTCCCTTGGCACCGGCCGGCGTTTCTGGGCCGCCGTAGTCAGCGGGCTGCCGTGTCTGTCGGAACGGGAGTTGGTGGCGTGCTTGGGGTCTCGAGTGCCGTGGCTGAGGTGCAGGCTCCGGGTTGTTCCGCCGGCTGTGCCGCAGAGGCAGTCGCTCCTGGCAGAAGAGCAGCAGGACGGACAGCCGGGGTGGTAACCTCTTAAACTCTACCGCGTGCAACGTTAGAGGTCACACGGAGATGCTCTGTTCCTGGCATATCTGGAGATTTTTAGATGTTAGTCTTGCCTTGTTCAACCTCACGCATGTTCACAGCAACCTTTCGGAAGCTTGCAAATAGCGGTTTGAGCTAATTTGCAAACACTACTTTCCCCGCTTAATGTCATCGTAACATAGCTTTCTGTTTACTTTCTTGTTTGTGCCTCAGTATAATTTCATCAACACGCTGCAATCAAGCATCTCATATGACAGATGAAGAAAGGAAATGTGGGTCAATGCACAAGCTGTTAATTTGCAGCTGAACAAAAAGATGACATGGAAAACCTGAATATAGGCAGTGCACTGAAGCTGCAGGCACATAGTGCCATGCTGAATAAACTGGCTAAACGCTGCTTAGTTTGTGGGTATATTTGCATTTTGGCATTGCAGATAGAAATCTTGAAGGCCCCCCCGAATCCTTTGATCCAGTCTCAAGCAGCCAGTAAGTGTGTGTCCTGTTTATTAATCATTGCCAGTTGGGACAGTAAACTCACTCCCTGGTGATCATGTGTTGGGGTGGGAAAAAATGGTCACCCGGTACATTACTTCCCCAAGTCACGCCCTGTTGCACTAGAGTTATTCTTGTTCAGGTCTTCTGTTCCAGCACCTCCGCTTTAGGGTAGAAACGTCTTCATAAGCAAACACACGGGGACTGTTGCACAAAGGCCAGCTATGACACCTGGAAGTTGTCCGGCTATCCAGGTACTTAGAACTGCAAGCTCACCGCTGCCCAGTGGTTTGCAGCTCCCAGGGCCGCTTGGATGGAGGGAGGCAGGGAAGGTCCTTCCCTGGCTGAGCGGGCCCTCTGCTGGCATTACGGGAAAGGCGCCAGCTGGGGACACAGCCTTCGCCCTCCTTGCTGGGCGCGCAGCACTCCCACCCCAACGGGGTCTTCCCTAGCAAGGACGTTGCCATATGTTTCAGAGCATCTGCGAGTCAGCCTTCGTGATTAGAGCAGGGATGGGGCTCCCTAAGACTTGAAGGCTGAAGTTTGATGGATGTAGTTAGTGTTAATTATAACTAAACATTCTTATTTTCTCTGTGTGTGTACGTACACAGATATATACACGCATGTATATGTCTACGCATATGTGTGTATAGGCATAATGGTAGAGCAATGTGCTATAAGCAGTATTTCATCCCTTCATTTTTGGGTCCTTGTCTGGATGCAGTAGCATGCTCTGCTTGCTAAACAGTGTCTGGGTTACTGTAAATAATCTTGTTAGAAGTGTTTTTCTTCCATCCAATATGCTCTAATTTAAAAATCTCTTTGAATTTCATATGCAATCATTCATATTGCTTGTTCACTTGATGTAAATCATTGCAGCTCCTTAAAAAAACGTTAGTTTGTGTGGTGCGCATATATGGCTTTCTCAGCTTCCTGACTCCTTTACAAATACTGTAAAGCACATGGGAACTTACTAGTGAAACTTGAAAATGCTAAACTGTTTCAGTTAGGAAACACATTCTTACTCTTTTCTCCATTTTGATTCTATTATCGTGCTTTACCTCTACCACAGGAATTTTTAGCCAATGGCATAGTTTATGTAGACTTGCAAAAATCCTTTGTCAATGAATAACTTTTAAAATTTTTCTTTTTATGCTACAGCTTCCAAAAATTCTTGTAGATAGATAGTTTCTGTGAAAGACAAGTATGCTATCGTTCCTAGTCTTTATTAGATTATGACCTCTCAAATATTTTTTTCTGAATTTTAGTGATCTAGATCTATGCCTAGGTCTTTCAGTGAAAGGAAATATATATTCTTGCTTCATATTTACTCTTCATAATTAAGGTACAAGCTAAAGCATAGATGAGGTTCCAAATTTTGAACTATTTTGTGCTTGGTACATCTGAGCGATCTGTGTCCTTCTATTTTTATATTGTTTTCATCAATACTGGTTGCTGCTGCTTCACCATGTACATCATCTTAAAACTAACATAATTAGTTCTGTAGTTGCCATTCAATGGCTTTTAGGTTGTATGCTGTAGTTCAGAGGACTGAGTAGACAGGATACGTAGGGCAATCAGGATCAAGCAGCTGGAGTAATGAATATAATTTAATCTCTGTAGTCTCCTTGACAGGCCCTCTTCAGAATCTTTTTTGTTTTAGGATTCTTATAGTCACTATCCATGATATTTTATTGTCTTTGCTTACAGGCTTGTGCTCGATAATAATTAATACTGATTGTCTCTCTCTTTTTCAGAAACAAATAATCATTGTTCATGTCTTGGCTGGATGCTCTTAACTTATTTTCTGATAAATGAAGTTGCATTTCGGGCATCTGCATCTTTGGCATTTCCTTACAGTTTGTGATTGTATTTTGCCAAGTGCTGATGCAGTATAAAGCTATAGGTAACCATATTTGTTCCCAGGTGTGTCATTTGGGACATGTATGACTTACTTAGGCTAATTTTATTTCCCAGATTGCCACATTTGTGGAGAAATTGCATAGAATTTGGCCTATAGAATTCGGTCTCATGCTAGTGCTTGTAGAAGTTACCAGTTTCTGAATCTGTTAATTATGACGTTTTAAGTAAAAGTATTAATGCTTGCCCAATTTTTGTGATATCTTGAGGTGCTGCAGTCTCCCCCTTTAACGTACATATATGTGTACATGTAGGTATATGGTAGAGGAGAGGGAATTAGAAAGCTTTGTGCCTATCTGTAAGGACTTTTCGTTGTTATCTAATTAAGATCTGTTTCATTGCCTCTTTGGCCCATTAACCTGTTCATGTTTTTCCACTCTGCTTTTTCTGAATGGGTGTGTCCTTCTGGTTTATCTCCAGTTTTCTTTTTCTTCACCCTGAGCGAGTACAGGACTGGAGTAAAAGAGGTTCTCTCTCTCTCTCTCTCTCTCTCTCTCTTACTGGTTTTATTTTCCTGCAGCACTGAACAGTAAGTAAGCAGAGGCATTTGTCCAGCAGGTCATGTTCCTTTACCCTTTTTGCAGTTTCCCCGGAGTTTCAGATATTTTGGGTGATGTCCTCAACAACACAACACTCTTGATGACACTTCTCTTTGCATGGTTTCTCTGAGCTGCTTCTGTGGCTGCATACTGACAGTAACTTTTACTGTGGGTTTTTTTCCCCTCAGAATTGTTATGCTTGAGTAATTATACTGCCCGTTGTAATGCCTAGCTAGTGCTGTAATAATTAATATTGGTTGGACAGAGGATGGTGAGGAGCTGGTACCTAGGTTTCTGCTGCTGTACGCTGAATACAGCTAGGGAATTTGGGGTTCTCTCTGTGCAGAGAAAAGACGGTTTTATGTGAGATGCTAAAAAGTTACCAGATCTCTGTACCACACAGAAATAAAAGCCTAGTCTTTGGCAATACAGATGTAGGAAAGAAACAAACCTCTGATGAACAAAAGAAAAAATGTTGTAGGGATGGGGGGATAATATTCTGAATGAAAAAACTGTAAGCAAAGGAGGATAGGATAAATGGAAACAAAAATGGCATCCTCACAGATAAGTTGTTTTTCTGTGGTGTGTGGGTTCTCTCCCCCACCCTTCTACTGCCATCCTATTCCTGTTTCTGTCAAGATGTTGAGCTTATAGTTTTACTTCCAGCTGAGGAGGACTGGGCACAATTCCAGCGTTAGCTATAGTCAGGCTTTCTTCCTCCCTCATGCCTCTCTCCCTAGTAAAGTGTACATGCAGCCTTAGAGTAAAGCCCTGCATATAGCAGTTGCCCTTTAGGATCAGTGTTGTCCCAAAGACGGTCTTTTTTATTAGTTTAACTTAGTTGGTGTTTTCTGACTCGCATGGTGTATGCATGGAATGTTATTGAGAAACTTTTCAATGGAAGAACCAAATTATTTTATAGTAGAGCAAGTTATCTAAAAACAAGACTTTTATATATGTGGAGCTGAGAGAATGTTGAACAAATTCTCACTCTAATCATTTCTGACTAATCTTCCTTAGTAGTTACGGGAATGTAAGTGTATGCAAGATGCTGTTCATTTTCTTCTTTGTACGAATACAGAATAAAGTAACCAGTCATGCTTTTTTTTTTTTCTTTTTGGTATTGCAAATTCTAGAAATTCCAAATCTTTACGTATGATGGAGGAAGACATTACTGTTTTAAGGCAGCTGCTTAGCAACACTGCTTTGCTGTTTCGCAATCACCCAGCTCTTCCCACACACTGCAGTGAAATGTACGTCATTTCACGGTGACTTGCATTCCAGCTTTTCTTTAGAGTTAGTCTTAGATCTCAAAGAAAATGAAATAATAAGAGTTGGAAAGAATAACAGGAACCTTTGGTGTCTTAACTGAACTTTTTTATTATAGGATGATTAATGCTTTAATATCCTTCAATAACCACGTTCCAGAAGTTCTGGCTAAGAAAACTTGGGTGAAGCCCAAGAGCTAATTCAAACCACTTGGGGAAATCCCCCTGAAGATCCCCCCTCAGTTGGGTCCCAGCATTTGATGTATAACTTCTACATAAATGTGTGCATGGTCAGATTCCCTCTCGCTCCTCCGCTGCCCAGACTCTTAAGAACTTTCAGTAGCAGGAGAGGTTGCATTTGGTAAGAATGGGTGCTGGAGAAGATAAGCAGTGAAAGCAGAATTGATCAAGCTATCTGTATACATGAACAGAGGTATAGGAATCAGAGGAAGTAAACACAGGAATCCTAATTTCGAGATTGAAGTCACCAAACCACTCTACTTACTGGCAACTACTGAACACTTTTGCTGTACTTAGAGCTTTAATGCAGACTACAAAAGCCTGTCTCTCAATTCATGTCAATGAAGCACAGATAAGGTGATAAAAAGACCCTTTATGGTTTTTCACGCACTGTCGTGGAGTCTAAGAGAGATTTAAAAAATATTTTTTTCAGCAGGGCTAAAACTGACTGTTCTAATACTAGCTTTTACTTTTTTTTTCAGTCATGTAACAGTAAAATAAAACAATCTCACAAACTTTTTCCATTCCATGCATTTAATTAGAAACATTTAAATATAAAGCTAGCATTTCAAAGTGATGTACTGGTCTGAATGGCTGGTTGTTCCTACAGTGATGTATTACTCAAAACAATCATTGAATAATAAACCGTTGCAAATCCTGTAAGTTAAGGATAAACAACATATAATTAAGTATGAATTATTTTTTTTTCTTGTGGATTCACTTGTACTGGGAGCAAACCAGCTTTTTAAGAGATTGGCGTAGGATTTAGTATTGTGACTTGAAAGTTGAGGGCAGTCAGTGCTGTAAGTTCAGGTGGGTACCTGAAAAAAATTAACTTCACTGGACCATGGTGGACGTGCTGCTTTAGTACAGTGTTCTGCATATGGAGAAGAAACTTCTCATCATACTCTTTGGAACAGACTAAGTTTGTCCAGCTTTTTCTGTTAGGTACTTCATGATCTAGGCATTACTGTGTTCCGAGACCTGCTAGGTAAAATTATCAGATGATGATTTTCACAAGACAAGA